GAAATCGGGTGAGAAATGCGGCCTGGGGGAGGTAACAACGCCCACGACAGACACACAGACAGACAACATGAGAAATATAGATAGTAGATTAAATATTTCACTATTTCATAATTAACCACAACTTCTTTGAACAGATCACAAAATGAATTAAGATATCAAGAAAAACCAGTGAATAAGATTTTCAAGTTACAATTTTTATTTGCGTTATTTCTTCTTGTAAAATCAATAAAAATTATTAGTTTTTTAAATTCTTTGCTAAATAACTAATAATCAATTTTTTGAAACAGTTTCAAGTTTTTCCTATTAATGATTTTTAAAAAAAATGGATGAAGATATTGTCAACTTTTGTGCCCGTAAAAAGAATGGTGTCAAAAGAATGGTTTTTCCCTTCACACTGCTATTATTTTAACTGCCTGCAATGTTTATTGTTTTAAAAAATGATGATTTAGAATTGTAATAAAACCTAAACATATGATGAAAGTGAATTTATTTATCTTGTACAGGAGTCTGTTCCACAGACAAGTGACAATTCTCGTGAAAAAGCTGTTTGATTGGAATTTCCTTCTTATATTTGGAACTTGGAGAGAAAGAGTGTTTTGAACGCAGGGAAGTAGCAAACCATGTTCTAGCAGTAAAGGCCTGAACTTGTGGACATATATATATACACACACACACACACACTTTTTTTTTAATCATTTCACCCCAAGCAAGGCAATAAAGCCACTAAGTGTTAGACAATATAAGAAAAATATGCTATTAAGGAGAGAGAACAATAAAAGAACAGGAATCAAGAATACAGAAGATAATGATTGGCATTGCATTTAAATTTTTGAAAATCAAATTTGATTGGAAAGCAAGAAGCTGGAAGAGATTCCCACAAGCAAGAAATGTGAGAGAAGGAAAAACATATGGTTACATCTAGCCATTTCAACTGTAAAATGATGTACCATTGTCATCAATCTAGTGGTATGCATAAATTCATAAAATCTTGGTATGAGGGAAGCTTAGAACAATTACCATAAAAATATTGGTCTATATTTCTGAGATTTATTCTATTGACATTATTCAGACTATTATCCTCATCCTCATTGCTAATATTCAGTTTTGGTCATTGTACACTCTGACCTTCTTCTGACTGGAATTTTGAACTGAACACTTTATTTTGGGGGTAGATTGTTTTAGTTTCACGTGTCATGACTCTGCCAGATTTCTCAATATCAGTTATCTCCCTTTAACTCAACTCTCCTAGTTTTTGTTCATCTCCAGGTATTGAACTCACAACTCTTTGGGCCAAGTCAACGGTTTCAAACAACACTTTTACCTACTGGGCCCTGTGGGTCGGTTTTTCTCTAGCACTCTGTATTACTGGTTCCCATATTGTGTTCATTTCCAGAGGGAAAAAGGGAGATCAGTATCCCCTGTGGGATGAGGTTACTGAGACATCCAGAAGAGGCATGACATGTGGAACTAGAACAATTTACTCCAGTGGACAAAATAAAGGGTTCAGTTCAAAATTCCAACCACCTGAAGAAGGCCAGAGCATGCAACAACTGAAGCGTTGTTAATATGACAACAAAGATGAGAACAACAGTCTGAGCAATGTAAATAGTGAAAATAATGATAAAAATATTTATAGAAAAGGCATAGGGATGTTACAGTGGTGGGGAAAGTAACTGAAGTTGAAATTTTGGGAAAGACTTTTTACCTTGTAGGGGATACAGTCAGTGTATTCTACAACAATGAAGTTGAAATATTTGCATGCACACATTAATAACTGATGGCATAGAAAACCTATCCTACCCCCCACCTCATTCACATTGATAATTCAGAAGATTTGTTTCAAACTGACAAAACATGGACAAAATTCCTCTAAGCATTCAAATACATGTAACCCAACTATTTTTTTTTTTTAATATTCCCTACAAAAATGGGTGGGTCTAAGTTTGATACAAAATGGTGTTAAAAAAAATTTGAGCCAATCAAAAAGCCATTTCAAATGAAGAATTTTGATATTTGGGATGCGGGTTGGGCTGAGAACTTTTCAGCACTCCCACTCAGATGCCTTCAAATATGCAAAATCTTTTTCTTTCTTAAGGAAATGCAGTTCTGCAATTGTTATTTACCGTTTAATTATGCTCAATGTGCAATAATTATTGGAATTTTTTTCAGTTTGATAATTTATATGGAAGAAAATTTAAAAATCAATTATTTCTATTGCAACTCATCTCTCTTAAAAGAACATTTTTTCATTTTCTTTTCAGTTCTCTCCTTTGTCTAGGAGAGTATTTCAATAAGGCTTAACAGATGATTATTACTTGGATTTTGATCTGAAATTTTCACTGTATAATGTTTGATCTATGTAATATTCACTACTTCATTAACAAAGGAGGAAATTATGTTGAAAAAATATTCTTTATGTGAAATAAATTATTTTTGTCATTAGTTTGTAAATTTATTGATATTTCTCTCTCTCTTTATCATTCACCCTCTACTCACCTCCATGTCTCTATTTTCTACTTTTTATTTTCATCTCTTGTCTGTCTCTTTCTCATATATCTGTCTCCCTTTCTTTGTCATCTGTCTGTCTGTCTCTCTTTCTTTGTCATCTGTCTGTCTCTCTTTCTTTGTCATCTGTCTGTCTGTCTCTCTTTCTTTGTCATCTGTCTGTCTGTCTCCCTTTCTTTGTCATCTGTCTGTCTGTCTCCCTTTCTTTGTCATCTGTCTGTCTGTCTCTCTTTCTTTGTCATCTGTCTGTCTGTCTCTCTTTCTTTGTCATCTGTCTCTTTCTTTCTTTGTCATCTGTCTGTCTGTCTCTCTTTCTTTGTCATCTGTCTGTCTGTCTCTCTTTTCATCTTCTGTCATCTCTTTCTTTTGTCATCTGTCTCTCTTTCTTTGTCATCTGTCTGTCTGTCTCTCTTTCTTTGTCATCTGTCTGTCTGTCTCCCTTTCTTTGTCATCTGTCTGTCTCATCTCTCTTTCTTTGTCATCTGTCTGTCCTCTTTCTTTGTCATCTGTCTGTCTGTCTCCTTTCTTTTGTCATCTGTCTGTCTGTCTCCCTTTCTTTGTCATCTGTCTGTCTGTCTCCCTTTCTTTGTCATCTGTCTGTCTGTCTCTCTTTCTTTGTCATCTGTCTGTCTGTCTCCCTTTCTTTGTCATCTGTCTGTCTGTCACTCTTTCTTTGTCATCTGTCTGTCTCTCTTTCTTTGCCATCTGTCTGTCTGTCTCCCTTTCTTTGTCATCTGTCTGTCTGTCTCCCTTTCTTTGTCATCTGTCTGTCTGTCTCTCTTTCTTTGTCATCTGTCTGTCTGTCTCTCTTTCTTTGTCATCTGTCTGTCTGTCTCCCTTTCTTTGTCATCTGTCTGTCTGTCTCTCTTTCTTTGTCATCTGTCTGTCTGTCTCTCTTTCTTTGTCATCTGTCTGTCTCCCTTTCTTTGTCATCTGTCTGTCTCTCTTTCTTTGTCATCTGTCTGTCTGTCTCCCTTTCTTTGTCATCTGTCTGTCTGTCTGTCTCCCTTTCTTTGTCATCTGTCTGTCTGTCTCCCTTTCTTTGTCATCTGTCTGTCTGTCTCCCTTTCTTTTTGCAACTTTCTCTCCTATCTCATCTATTCTTCTCTTCATTTCATCTTTCTTTTAACGTTTCATTTCTCTCTCTTCTTGCCCTTCTTTCATCTATTCTTTCTGACTCTTTCTCCCTCTTTATTTATTCATGTCTTCTACCTCTCTCATCTGTTCCTCTTTCTGTCATTTGTCTTTCCCTCTCTCATTTCTTTCCTCCTCTCTCTCATGTCTTTCTCTCCATCTCTCCCACTCTCTCTTTCTCTTTCACATTTCTCTCTCTCTCATTGGACTCCTCTGTCTCTCTCTCTCATTTGGCTTTCTGTTTTAACTCTCTTATCTGTCTAGTCATATCTTTGTCTTTCTGCTCTATCTTTCCTCTGGCTCTTAAATTCATCTTACCTGTCTCTCTCTCTCTCTCTCTCTCTCTCTCTCTATCTCTCTCTCTCTCTCACTTTCTCATTTACCTTTCTCTTTTAGTTTCCTACCCTTATCTCTCTATATCTCTCTTTCTCTCTCTCTCACTTTCTCATTTACCTTTCTCTTTTAGTTTCCTACCCTTATCTCTCTCTATTTCTCTCTCACTTTCTCATTTACCTTTCTCTTTTAGTTTCCTACCCTTATCTCTCTCTATCTCTCTCTATCTCATGTCCGTATTTTCATCTTTTTCTCTATTTCCCTCTCTATATTTTTACCTTAGATTTTTCTCTCTTCCTTCTCATTCTTTCTCTCTTTATTCTCTGTTTCTTTTTTTATTCTCTACTTTCCTGTCTCCATTTCACACTCTCTTGACTGTCACATTTCCAATAAATTTCTATCAGCCTCACTTTACTTAGAGTAGCAGTATATCAAAGGCATCTGTCAGATCCTGATCTGAACAATTCAATATTTTTAGTAAAAAAAAAATAAATAAATATTTTAAATAAAAAAAAGTCTGACATTCAAGAACTCCTCAAAAAAGAAACATTGCATCTTTTTTCAGTATGCATTTTCTTTAAAAAAAAAAAAATGCATCTCCCAATTTAAATAGGTACAAACCGACTAGGATTAGTTGCAAGCTTTTGACTGATATTAGATGAGAACAATTGTTTATAAAGAGAAATGTGGTCATTCACTATGCTGATATTAAAATGTTCAACCAAGACATCAAGTACATCCATCAAAGACATTTTGAAAATCTCTTTCTGGGCCATGTCTCTTCAAATCGTGGATGATCATGGTTCTCCACATCTTCCTCACTTTTGTTGCTACCAACAATACTTATAATCTTCTTTATAATCTCTTCCTTGTCTTTGTGGCATTTCTTCCATTATCCATTTACTAAAATATGTCAAATTTTTTCTTCCTTTGCTTTTGGAGTGCCCTGTGTGTATTCTCCAAGACTTCTTTTCCCATTTTGTATTTTCAAATATTTCTGCCGTCTCGTTCTGATTGTTGAGGGCTTACAGCCACATCACATTGAAACACCAGTTCCCTTACAATCACCAAAGTTAAGCAATATCGAGCCTGGTCAGTACCTAGATGGGTGACTGCTTGGGATTACCAAGTGCTGTAAATGTGGGTAGTGTAATGGATAATGGTGTGAAATTGTTAATCGAAGAGCTGAGTTCCAATTCCATTTGCATTCATTATATTCAGTTATGTTGGGAAAAGTATGAATCCACCTCTTCTCCCTCTAGCTATGGGTTAATTAGTTGGACTTGTATCACTAAATCATCTCAAAATAATAAAAATAACATTATGTAAAGAATATTTAGATTTCAGCATTAAATAAACCGTAGAGGTGTTGATATGCCACTAAACAAAAACAGCCAACCAATTTCTGATTTTTGACAACAATTTCTTTGTAGTACTTATTCTTCTTACAATTTCCTCCTTCATTATATGCTCCGTCCAGGGCATTCTTAACATTTGTTAGTAAAACCACGTCTCAATTGCCTCAGTTTTTTTTTTGTTTTTTTTTCATTTTTGATGAAATTGTCCAACTTTCAGTGATATAGGTGAATAGACATTATGTAACCGTCCAGAACTCTTTTCTTTGTTTCTGGTGTTATGTTTAAATACCTTTTACTCTAATAGAAATACAAAAAAAGTGAAACTGTGCAGGGTTTGAGTTGCTCTAAATTTTCAGATTTTTACTTCTAATGTTCTCTCCAATATTCTCATTCTGAAAAATCCTGATTTCTTCAAGTCTTTTCATTATTTGTGAAGAAATTTCACTGTCATTGTCCTGCACTTTCTTTGTTTTTAATTTTATTTTTATTTTTTTTTAATATGAAATGAATTTTCATTTATTGGCTTATATCTTTATGTTTATGATTCAGAACTGTAAATCTTGATTAAGAATTTAAAAATAGAAAACAGAAAAGTTTCATAATCTATTCTGTGTTAAATTGATTTCAGACATATGGAGTAGCATGATAGTTATCTGTAGAAAAAAATTGGAAAACAAAGTTCAAACAGAGGCTGTTTATATTCCCATTACAGCAATTCCCTTCAGAAAGGCATGAGTCCACTTTTCCCTGTATGATTCCCACCAATAGACATCTTGATAAAATACTACAGAATTATTTTCAGGAAAAAGCAGAGAAATAAAAAAAGACTAAAGAAATGTTTATTGAGAATAAAAAAGAAACAATAAAAATAAAAGGAAAATAAAGAAACAATAAAAAAGAAACACAAAATAAGGAAACAATAAAATGAACAAAGAAACCAGTTTTCAAAATGGGTGTTTTATTAAAAACCACTTTGACGGGTTTTATTTTTAATTATTTCACCCAAGCAAAGCATTAATACCACTAAGATGCAAGAAAGTGGAGGAGAATGAGAAGACTTTAGTGAGGGAAAAGGACAATAAAAGAACAGATTTCAGGAAGACAGAAGATTGCAACTGATGTTAGATTTAAATTTTTGAACATCCTAATTGGTAGGGAAACAAGTTTTATAGGTAAATTTTTTCTAATATTTATCACCTGCAAAAAGAGATGAATTCTATAATAATATTGATGTCCTGAACATAATTGTTTACCAGGATGGATATAGAAACAAATGTAAATTAAGCTTATTTAAATATTATTTATGAAAAATATAATCACCTTCATTTTCAACAAGTACAGCACAATGAGAAAGCAAATTTTCATTTCCATTTGTTTTTTTTGTTTTTTTACATTAAAAATGTTTGAAATACTATTTTTTGTTTCTGAATGTTATGCCATTTATGAAATGTTCTAGCAATTGAAAAAAATAAAAATCTGTAGCTGACTAAATCACACGAGTATAAAGGATCTTGAAAATCCTTCCCTTCCTATAAAGATCTTATTGGGGAGGGTGTTGTTTTGCTGAGTGTGCTCTTGCATTACTATGCTGGGGGAATATCACCTTTTCTGTTTAACAAAGCTGGACACTTTTAATGTAATCAGTCAGTCAGTTATGTGCCATGCGTAGGCAATCATGTATCTTGCAATACATGACTGATGAGGCAGATTCTTTCTTTTTCCCCACAGTAGGTTACCATTTCTTTCTGCGGTAGACCTGTTTCCATCCAAGGCTATAGAGCCTGGTCTGTCCTGCTATTTACCCATAGCTAGAAGGAGAAGAAGAGGATTCATACCTTTCTCAAAGTTATTAGCACATACAGTGAATGTAATGGATGTGACTGGAATTTGAACTCGGTTCCCTGATTCCTCAGTCCAAGCCACTATCCATAACTCCATCATGCCTCCTCTTTAATGTAATACTTCATTTAAATGATCAAGTTGCTGACAAAAAAATGTCTGCAGTGATGGTTCTTCCATGTTCCAGGAGCTCACAATGGGCAGCATTATTCATATTCCAGACACAAAGCAAAAATATCTATGGATGGAGTCCTGGATTTTGTGTTGGCAGTGGTTTCTCAATTTCTGATAACCACGGTTCTTCTTCATTTTCTTTTCACATGCAAAACTCATTTTTCATTACCTGTAAGAATGCAATGCAAAAATAAAAAGTTGGCATTCTTGTTAAAAGTCTGCTGCAAGTGGTGAAAAGTTTGGTTCTCAAACAAAAGCTAATGAGGAATCCAAATTCTCTTTGCTGGTTTTCCCAATTCATTGAGATGTTCACAGACAGTTGAATATGACTCATTAAATTATTACCCCAAATCTGTGATACATTGATGTGTATTTAATTCACTAGCAAAGAAGCGAGTGGGTTAGTGAACACTTAGATAAACCATTTTTCTTTATGTTAATAAATGCTTGCAAGTAATATATACTTGCAGAAGTAGGTAAAAAGCTTTTACCCACAATGTCATCCTTGACATTGATCACCCAGATAGATTGCAACATGTGTAATGTCAGAGACAAGATTTTAAATTAAAAATTTATTTTTTGAATAATTTAAAATCCTAAGAGATAAGAATTTATTTCTTTTATTCATTTCATAAAATTTTCTGAATATTGATAAAAAAAATTAGTTATTTAAATTAAAACGAAAATGTACATTACTAAATGTTTTAAATTCCGTAGGGAGAGAAGCCATAGAAGTTATTCATACTGTCGAGCTTGTAGTTATTATATCTCAGCCAAAGATAAGAACATTGTTAAGAATGCAATAGAGGATTGGCTGTTGAGCAAGGGCTATTGAAGAAAACATGATCAGAACAAAAAACAGCATTGAGGACAAAATTGGCAAAAGTTAATATTGATTCCAGTGTTGTGGATTTGCAGTTTTGAATGTTCACATGCCGTTTGTGGTAGGATCGGATGTCATCTAACTTTTCATTTCTTTTCTTTTTTTGTTTTTGTTTTCACCTCCCAGGATTTGAAGAGTAAAATAGAATACAAAAACAAAATGACTGCTTTTTATTTGTTTCTTGTCACTGTTAGCCTAAAACAAGCAAAATGTGTGTTCATGGAAGAGGCTTCATATTGTACCTGGGAGTGGATAAAATTATTTCTCATGTAGAAACAAGGCCAGGTTTACAAGGTTAGGGTATTGATTTACTGCTGTCAACTTGGTTAGAAAATTACAGTATTATGTTATCATGAGAAATGTGTGTTTGTAGTAACATTATTTATCAGTTTGTGTGTCCAAGAACAGGTATGAAGGCTTCTCACTTTCACGATGTAGAAAGGCCTGTAACAATCATGAAAAATTTTAAATCCTCCTTTAAACATCATTATTATAGATATGAGGGACTTCTTAATCTATCCATATCCTTAAAAATGGTATTTTATTACATTTAGAGAAGTGGCTTAGAGTAAGAACTTTTCAGCACCTTCTTATGTATCCATGGTTTGGCTGTTTTTGTTTAGCAATATATCAACACCTATATGGGTTATTTAATGCCAAAATTTAAATATTTTGAATGCAGTTTTATGCCATCAACTACAGATATTTTGTACATAATTTGATACTTTCAGGTTAAATGTATGTTTTATAGATATATAGTTTGTACATAATCTGTTGTCGGTGTTATATGTTTAGCTATAAATTTATTTCTTTAATGTTCTTCAACATTATCATGACAGTTTCGATATTTTCAAATAGTTTTCTCATGTTGCTTTCTTTGTAGTTCATTCTCAATGAATCAATTGCATCTGCAATAAGGTAATCCTCCTGTTACTCTGAATATTGACAACTGAACAAATAAAACATTTTCAGTATGGCTGCCAGCATTTATAGAAATCACCACCTAGTGGCACAAAACAACAACTAAAAGGCAAGGGCAATAACTACAAGATTAACAGTAGTATTTGTGTCTTATAGGAGCTGAGTACATTCAATTAAAATGTGTTTGACTGTGAATTCAATTAGGTGTGTTATACATGTTGGTTGATCTTCATTCTTCAGCAATTCAGCCTACATGTAGGCAAGCTAATATTACTTTATCTTTTCTCCTTTTTCTAATTATTTGTTTCCATTCACAAAGGATTGGTTTGATTGTATAATAATTTTATGTCGTTGGCCACAAACTTTTGCACACTATTCTGTTTCATAGATTACACAAAAGCATTTGATAAGGTACAACTTAAAGATTTACTTGAAACATAAGAAAAGTTTCATTTATATAGGAAAGATATTTAAGTAATTTGTACCCTTTATTTGGAACATTCAGTCTACATGTAGATATAGAATGAGTTCAGTAAATAAAAAATTATAGTAGTAAGACTCCAGATTTATTTAACCTATACAATGAAAGAATCCTAAGAGAACTAGAAGTTCTACCAGGATTTATTATTGACAAGCATAATCTTAACAATATAAGATATGTGGATGACACTGTATTGATTGCAGATTCAGAAAGGAAAGTGAGAAGAAAGGACTATTAACAGTCTGGATGCAGAGAGATAGCAGAATACACAAAAGACTGCTAAGAATAACATGGACAGAAAATGTGAACAATGAGAAAGTTTTAAGGAATATAGAAAGAGGGAAACTTACAATTAGAGACAACTGAAATTTCTGGTACCCATAACAAGGAAAGAAGGCCTAAAGAATTTAACACTCACAAGACATAGTGATGGCAAAAGACGTGGGTGGAGAACAGCAAGTAACTTTTCTTAATAAGTTTG